TCTGTACGCAAAATTATATTGTCCCACGATCATATGCTTGCATCCCAGGATCACAACTTGATGTAAGTTTATTTTGCAGCTTCTAATGCTGACAATTGGTCTCGTCTTCTAATCCTGTAGTATTTTGATGCCAATGGTCTCCAGATGTTGACTCGAAATGTTGTTTTCTATATTGTATACAATGTAAGTCTGATTCCTATCCTCTTAATTTAAATATACTCATCAGTTCTATGTAAATTAATTTAAAAAAAAAAAACTGCCTTCCCAAACAAGGAAGACTCATTTACTTCTCTTGAGAGAAGGCCCTTTAGGTATAAAATTACCCTTTAATTAACCTTGTGCAAAGAACTTAATAACTGTACAGTTCAGCACTGGCGAAATTCAGTCTACCTGTTTTAATGTAATTCCATTAATTCTATTTCTTTACCACCAATTTCATGGTCGATTCTTATACTTTAACTCCAATTTAACTAGACACTTTTATCCACTGGAATTAGATTGTCAGTGAAACCAAAGCCAGGAAAGACAGGGATATTTAGTGTTACATGCATTTTATACTTTTTTTTTCAGTCTTTTTTTGGGGGGTGCAGACAGGCTAATAATTTGGTGCCTTTCCCTGTTATTACATACATAGAAAAACGCACTTTGTACAATCATATCTTTATAGGGATAAAGAATAAATAAAAATCCAATTTAGTTGGCAATTTCTCTGAAGAGAGAGATGGCTTGATCTATACTATTGTGCATCATTGTATCAACACTGATGTTTTAAAGATCATCAGAAGGGAAACAAATTATGTGTCTGTCAAGTCTATAACTCTTTCCCAGCATGCACTACGGTGGCGAGAAAATATTATACACAAGTCTAGTTTGTATTCGGATTTATACTTAGGAAAGGATTATCATTTTTTAGAGAGTAGATATATATATATATCTGCTCAGAATTTGAATGCAGTATGCTAAAATATGGCTGCAGGTCATGTTCTTTGACACTAGGGGTGCATAGAGTAGAACATTCAATAAATATAAAAATGAGCCAAAGTCTCACAATGTCGCACGTCAGCTACTGAAACAGGCAAATATATTGCTAGCTATTTTTTACACCCCGAAGGCCTGAAACAATGACAGAACAGAGCAAAGGCTCTTCGCTGCAGAATGAGTTTTTGAAAATTGACGACTGACTTGCAAACTGAGGTAATCACAGCCAGGTGGATTGGGGTAAAAAAATTATCTCCTTCACTAGAATTGAAGATGTATTTTCAACTCCTCTATTTTGGCTGAAAATTGATTGTCAAGTTATCAAAACTGACCAATTAGATGAAAAACTGAAAAAAATTTAAATTTTTGAAGTCCAACTTAAGAGGACGTGGAGAGTACAAGATAGAGATTTTATTGAAGTCGGTACATTCAAGACAGACAGCAGGCTCTATGCGTATATTTTGTTTTTGTCTGAAGGCTCATATAGTATGAGTTCAAAAATCACAATATTTTATTTATATTTTCCTAAACCAGCTCTTTGCTTTTTGCTCCATATCAAGCATTTATTTTTGGAATTCACATTAATGATTTTGGTGTCTATTGAATAAACAGCAAGTTGTGCGGTCTTGAGAACAGATTTAGGAAGAATTAGCAGGGATTGTAACATGTCCAATGCAGAACAATTATATCTTCTCAATCCACTCTGTGACTTAATGATCTTAAAGGGACACTGTAGGCAGTATAACTAATCTCTCTCACTGAACTGGTTTTAGTGCCTGGGGACCCTTTTTACTCTCCCTCCATCCCACTGTCCTAAGCACTTCATTCTACCTGTATCGATTCATACCTGCAATGACTCTGTGATAGGCTGAATGTTGTCAGCTAACATTCTCAGCCAATCCCAGCCACTCATTGTTGCTCAGACTGATACCTCCTCATTAGCGCAAGCAGCACAGATAGGATGGAACGCTGGGGATATGCGTTTACAATTAAAACATTACAAATAATGAAACCAGGGGACTCCAGGCACTATAACCACTTCAATAAAATGAAGCAGTTTCAGAGCCTACAATGTCCCTTTAAGTCACTACATTTTACTTGCCGTAGCTTCATAGATGTCTTTTGGTCACTGTGTTGGCTGACTAAGCTCACTCCTATCACTCTCAGAGGATACGGGACTCAAACAAGACAATGTCAAGTTATTTTCTATGCAAATTGGTGTTCTGAATTAATTACAGCAACTCTCATGGTTTTATATCAATATTATCATTATATAAAATGAATTGTTTGTCATTTCATGTTGTTTTATACCTCATTAAATCAAAGCATATTGCGTTTTATGTTTACCTGTTATTACATCTCTTATCTGTTTTTCCTCGTCTTCCTGGGGTTGTTTATACAGGTTCACTAATTACCATATAATTGTTTTGGCACATTTTCTTTGATGCTAATACAGTATGGATTTAAGGGTGTTGCGTTTATAATACCCTGGTTTCCAGGGTGAAAGATATTAATAAATCATTCTCTTTTCTGAGTATAATCTTTAATACCACAACTTCCCCACACTCTGTGAACTTTGACATCCCCAGTGTTTGATGCCTGAACAAATTATTGTGTTTCTACCTTTGCGTACATGCATTATGTCAACAGGGGTCACAATTTCACAGAAACCACAGAAAATGTGCATTTTCTTTATAGAAGTTGTCTGCTTTGGGGATTTTACACATTTTGCATTATAAACATCTCAACATTGCTAATTTTTACACATCCGTAAAAAATGACTTCCTTAAGGAAGACATTATAGCAACATATTATATTTTTTTCAATATTTATTATATTAAATATTATTATTAGTATTAATATTATTATTATTATTATTACTATGTTACTTTATCAATAAAAAAATGTATAGTCTGAAAGCCCTCTAGAATTGTTATGCAGGTAAATAGTGCAATTAAAGGACTAATTATTTTTTTGGGAAAATATATATTTTTGTAATTTTAACGTTTATCTTTTTGAGCACCATATGGTTCCTCATTTAATTTTGATGCCCTTTAACTTTAATGTTTAGAAAACTAAAATAAATTACCTGTGATAAACTAGACATATCACAGTCCTTTTTGTATCTGTTAAGCATCATTAAATTGTACATTATGTCAAAAACTAAAGATGAAATGTATTAGTAATTTTAAAATGATTAGATATCACCAGTTAGTGTTTCTTAGAACATCATAAGATTATTACAGAAATATCTACTTGTTCAAAGTTTTGGGCCAGATCAGTTGGATAGGCTTAAGGATTCCACTATCGGCAATGTTTGACATCTAAAAAGTCAGATTACTTTAATCACTACTATACGTTTGTTTTGATTGTCAATAAAACACTGAAAAATAAGACATCGTGGTAGACACATTTTGATAAGCTCATAACATGACTAGCACTGTGAAAAATATTATCACTTGATAAATGTAGCAAGGTGTGATTCTTGTGGCACCCAGGTCCACAGCACCTTCTAGACAAACTGGGTTCTTCCTTTAATTTGTATAAAGCAGAAACTTCACTCTTACTAACTCGGAAGTCTCAAGGGCAGGATTTCATGATATATTTTATTTGCACTGTTGCCATGTGACATCAGCCCAGAATTCTACCTGTGGGTCGGCATTGTGCATTATTACAAACACACATTTTTGGTGTTGTTCACTACACCAGGATTCATCAGGAATTGTCCAGAGAATTCTACATTTTAGGACAAAATACCTAAGCAGTAACAAATATAAACTGGAGGGTGCTTTTTGTCCTGCTATATTGACCTACAGTTAATATTCCTGGCCCATTTCATGACAGTTCTCTTTCGCATGAATAACCCTATCACCATATACTCCACCACAATTTCTCCTGCATTCACTATGCTGTGCATTTGGGTTTCCCACTCCTCCCACTGTCCACCCCATGCCTCTTCTTCTTTTTTTAGATTTAATTTCTTTTTTTCCCTCCCTGTTCAGTTGTTGTTGAAAAAGTGTCCTTGATGTTCTGTGCTTTTGTATGAAGATCTCGTGTTACAGTTTGTTGCACTGTTTGTTTCTGCTGCATTCAATGAAATGTTATTTTTCTAAAAATGAATCACTCGCTGAAGGTTGCGTCGACCGGGGCAGCCCCCATGCTTCACTTTGAAACACAGAGGAGTCCTGCTGTGGATCAAATGCATGTAGCTTAAACATCAAATGCCTTTACCTTGAGGGTAGGTGTATTTTGTAACCTTTGGATCTATTAAGGAAGAAAATGTTTTTAAAAGTGTCGTGTTTTTTTAAGTGTTTGTATTTTTTGAGCACAAGCAAATATCTCAATCTGTTCTTCGCGTAAATATTCCCAAGTAGTGAATGGTGGCATTTTCTTTTGATAGACAAACATCTGCTGAAACATCACCCTACTGCAAAATGCCATCTGCCTAAAAAAACAGATTCCCCTTTCTTGACGACTGTGTGTTTTCCGCAGTTGGTGCGGATTTTGTAAATGTGAAAGCCATGCATGTTATTTCAAGGTTCAAATAGATGAGGTTTTCCATAACGTGTACTTGGTACGTACCTAAAATGTCACTTTATTTGAAAGAAGGTGACAGAATGGTTATAAAATGTAATATTGTGACCATGCCAAAACCAGTTCAATTCATGCACAGCCAATTCTCTTCAACTTCCAACAACAAATATAAAAAAAAATTTTAAAAAAATACATTTATATAAATTCTTTTATTAGGCCATTGAGTGACTTTTCCTAGAAACAACTTAGATAGAGACTCAATGGACACATTGTTCTATGTGTGTTATCGTCCGTCCATGTTCTAAGCAATGATAACATTATAATAATGATAATCCTCTCTACTAGGAGTCTTGAAGTTAATATATCTGGGGGTCACTGTGCAGTCTAGTCTCTCATAGTGGCTGCAGATCTGTACTGCCAGATGCAAACACAAAACTCCCACAAGCACACACAGCTACACACTCCAATACACACACATACAACACACTCCCATACACAAACAGCTCCATACTCCGATACACACACATACAACACACTCCCATAGACACACAGCTACACACTCCAATACACACACATACAACACACTCCCATATACACACAGCTACGCACTCCGATACACACACATACAACACACTCCCATATACACATAGCAACATACTCCAATACACACACATACAACACACTACCATTAACACAGCTACATACTCCGATACACACACATACAACACACTCCCATAGACACACAGCTACACACTCCAATACACACACATACAACACATTACCATAAACACACAGCTACACACTCCGATACATACACACATACAACACACTACCATAAACACACAGCTACACACTCCAATACACACACATACAACACACTACCATAAAGACACAGCTACGCACTCCAATACACACACATACAACACATTACTTTAAACACACAGCTACACATTCCAATACAAACACACATACAACACAACACACTACCATAAACACACCGCTACACACTCCAATACACACACATACAACACACTACCATAAACACAGCTACATACTCCGATACACACACATACAACACACCCCCATAGACACACAGCTACACACTCCGATACACACACATACAACACACTCCCATAGACACACAGCTACACACTCCAATACACACACATACAAGACATTACCATAAACACACAGCTACACACTCCAATACATACACACATACAACACACTACCATAAACACACAGCTACACACTCCAATACACACACATACAACACACTACCATAAACACACAGCTACGCACTCCAATACACACACATACAAGACACTCCCATATACACACAGCTTTACACTCCAATATACAAACATACACTCCTGTATACACACAGCTACATACTCCAACACACACACATATACAGTTCCATATACACACAGCTACACACTCCAATACACACACATAACCTCGAAATATACACACGGCTCCACACCCACATAATATACACTTTGTCCAATTAGCATCAGTAGCATGGCCGAGCTCTGGATTAAAGCCACTTTACTGCACTGTGTGCATTAGCCAAACTCATCACTAAAGTTCTGGCACAAAACCTCAGAATGTTGAAAATGTACTAATGATGCTGACAGGAGCACACATCCTCCCCAAACACAGCAGCTAAGGACATGATCACGGATCTAATGCAGATCAGGGTACAAGCAAACTGGGCATAGAGGTGTGCTTGTGACTCAAGCATTTAGGGGGCTGGAAAGGGTCTCCAGGCTCGTACTTTGACACCACTTCTACAGATTGTTTCATGTACTGACATGAGGATAAAATACAAGGAAAAGGTTTTTGCAGCTATTTTTATTGCTTGATATAAATATATATATATATATATACACAAGATCCAGCGCACTCACCTATCCACTAAACAGCAACTTCAATGTTGAAAGATTTTATTTGTTTTTTTAAAAACACCTAATCTAGGAAAAAATAATGGGGGTTTAGTTACATTATATGATCATACATTGCATAAGCCTGCCACAACGTCAATGTACCCCATCTTTGGCAGGTCCTACTCTAACAGCCTAATGTCTGCTCTAATGAGATTAACCCACTTACTTGGGGGAAAAAATTCCATCTGGGGCTCTCTGCAGTACAAGGCTAAATAGGGCCCTGGGATGAGGCACATTGTGGCAAGCTTATGCAATGTATGATCATATAATGTAACTAAACCCCCATTATTTTTGCCTAGATTAGGTGTTTTTTAAAAAACAAATAAAATATGTCAACATTGAAGTTGCTGTTTAGTGGATAGGTGAGTGCGTTGGATCTTGTGTATTGTATTATTTGGCCCCTAGCAGCACCCCCATTTATGCATGTTCAGGTGAGTGCAGCCAACCCCCTCTTGTTTCATATATATATTTTAAACCATATTTTTTAGCGGCACAAATTCCTATCTCATTTTCATTACAATTTAGAGACCAGAATTCAGGGTTATAGTTAGTTACTAATCCATTATTATCCAAAATAAAAATACTACCCTCAACTTAGGGCTGCATTCTACAGCCTTAACGCATTTTGCATTAGCCATGCTGGGTGGCACCTCTTATACCTACCGAATGGAGCTTGGACATACAAGTGAGTTCATTAACGCAGCCATAAACTTTGTTTAGAACAATTATCACAAACCAAAGAAAACTTTGTCCATTTTGTTTGTCTCGTGATTCGATCATATGGCAATTCAGAGTTACAGAATCCAGACAAATGCCCTCAACAATGCGGCTATACTTACTAACGTGTTCTCATCACAAGCAGATCCAAAATGCCATATCAGAGATCATATCCTTCTGTAAAAGGTTTTTAAGAAAAATAATGGCGTTGTTTAAATTCAGCTCAGCTGCTCCAAACCAATGAGTTTTTGTTTAATATTTATTTTTTACGATAACAGTAAGTCATTGCTAGGCCAAGGTTCTCCTGCTACCTTGCACTCTTTGAAGTTTGACTTATCATTTAATATGTCAGTCCCAGCAGGATGCTATGTTTACAAAATTAGCACTGGCGCACTGGCGTTAAGCTGAATGTTCTATATCCGAGCATAGGATGCACTTCCCTCTAGATCCAATTAGTGAGCTGCTTGCCATTTGTTCTACCTGTTCAGTGACCCTTAAATTGAGGTACTTCACTAAGCTCTTACCCTGAAGCACAAACACCTCTTAGATAGCTAAGCACGCTCTAGCAATCCCCTATTTAGCTGCATATCACATTATGTTGCTACTGCACTGTAATTTTTTATGTATGACTTTCTTTTCTTTAACGCTCTATTACTGACTGTTCCTGACACTGTCAATGTGATGCTATTTTTCACTGTGTATTCTGAAGCTTTGCAATTTGATTTGTTACGTCCAATTTATCATTTATACTTTCTATATTTTTTCTGCTGTCAGTTTTATTCTCGCCTTTGAGTGGATGCTTTGAGTTGTCTGTGTGTAGTGTTTCTTTACGTAGACGATAGACGCAGCAGGGAAAGTAAGACCGTAGATCTCTTTTCTGTGACAAGGCTATGCGAGTACAGATAAAAAAAAATATATATATATCTTAAATGAAAAGTAAAACTGAAAAAAACAAAAAACGTTTTATTCAAAAGCCAAAAATGGGAGATGGAGAACTGACACTTCCAAGAGGTCATGTTTATTAAAACAAGTCTACTCAGATTAGAAAAATAAAATGTTTTAAAACAAATCTGCATGTATATACAAAATGTTAGCTTTGTCCCAGCACTTGGCTGTATGAAGCAGATATAGTAGCAATATTGTTCTAAAACAATGGTTTATGGTTGTGTTAGTTGAACTCACTTGTATTTGAACTGTCCATGTCCAAGTTCCATACAGTAGGTCTAAGAGATGCCACTCAACATGGCTGATGCAAGATTCACATAAATTCCAAAACGTGTACTGTACAAGCTCAGTTTTATAGCCTATAAATTAATTATCGTATGAGAGAAAGCATTTTTGCTGATGCTGTTCTCTTGCAGAAATTCAGATCCCATGATAAATGGACAGTTTAGGATTTCGAAAAGTTCTAGTTCTGGAGATCATGACAGGCCTGACATTAGCTTCTTAAAGGAACAATTCACGTATCAAAACCACTAAAATGCACTGCCATGAGTGCCATAGACCCCCTCCCATTGTAAGTAGCCAACCCTTTTTAGAATTCTTTGACTTCCTATCTAGGGTCTACCTTGCACCGCTCCACGTCTCAATGACATTGGCCAGAAGATCTCCGTTTGAGCTTAGTGTTCATTTAAGGATTGCTGTAATATGTAACAATTAGTAAATGTATTGGTGTAGTGACTACTTAGGGGAAACTGTCTGTATATCATGTTGAGTGGGTTACTACTATTTGAGATGTCCAATTTAGAGGACACATGGAAACTTTGATATTTTAGCTCTAAACGCATTAAACTTCCACAATGTTCTCTTTTTTTTTTTTTAAGGAAACCACATTTCAACACCTGCTCTGAGAAAATGTGGAAACAACTCTAATCATTTACCCCTTTCTGAAGTATAAAGCTTTTGTAGAAAATGCTAAACAGGGAGCACTGTTTTCTATACTGCTTTCTATGCTTTTCAATGGGGAGTTCTGCTTTGACACTGAGAGGTTTTTATTATTTATATTATATTATTTTTGCTGTTAGCTTGAAGTGTAACTCAAAATATTTGCCTTTGCTGCTTATTGAATTGTCATGATAGTATAATACTATTAAATAATTAGAAAGGTAAATAGTGGTCTTTAGACTCGGAGTGACAGCAATTTTTCTGCATTTGGGTTGGATTGGTAAAATTCGAGTCGAACTGTACCCTAATCACAAACCGACCAAGACACGTAATGGCCGAGCATATTCTTTTTGATTTGTGGTTCAGAGTTCCATCCATGGCACTAAATTAAGAGATGATTGATGGGTAGGGAGCAGCCACTAAATGTTGATTTTATTCACAGATCAAGTGAGAAGTGACCAAAAGAGGGAAAAAATGAGAAGTAATAAAAAAAAATCTCTATTTATATATTGTGACGAGACCAATCTCGCCACATTGCATTGGAGAAGCCTGGTTGCTCGCCTGCTGCCTTTGGACTATGGCCCCCTTTTAAAAGACTTTATTTTTGCCTGCAGAAAAGCTGTATTCGTGCTTTTCTGCCTGGGGTTCAGTAGATTTGTTTGAATGTGTTATACCCCAGATAGGAATCCCATGGAGCCCATTCGTATGAAACTGACTGTAAAGACTTTAGCTCCATGGCGATTAAACTGTATTCGTGTGGTCTGAGCGCCATTCACTTAATAATGTGTGCTCGGACCTGAGCTATCTGGGGATATGTTACATGTCTGTGTTTTATGTAATAAATGTGACTTTATGTATTTTAAAGTGTTTTGTGTCTCTTTGCAACCATGTGCTTAATGGAGTCTTGTGTCTATCCTGGGAGATAATTGAATTACTTATCTCCAGGATAGAAGACTCTGAAACTGGTTTGGGCCAGAAAGCCATGCTTCATTTAGTCACAAAGGACTTTTTACTAACTTTTGAACCCCTTGTCTGATTTGTGCCATTTTTGAATATGTTGTTCCCCTGAATGGATTGATTGTGCATATGTAATTTTATGTGAATGTGATGTATGGTTTTAGAGTTATGAAAGTTGGGTAGAAAG